CACAAGGATCCGCCTGCCTCTGCCTCCTGAGTGCTGGGATTAAAGGCATGCGCCACCACGCCTAGCTAAATTAATTTTTTTACATTTATTTATTTATCATGAAGTGTGTGTAGGCTGATACATGTGAAGATAAGAACAGTTTGCAGGAGTCAGTCCTCTCCTTCTACCATGTGGATCCCAGGGATCAAACTCAAGTTATCAGGCTTGGCAGCAATCGCCTTTACCTGCTGAGTGATCTCACCAGCTCTCCACTTGTTTTATAAATTAAGTTTTATTCTTTTTATGTGCCAGTAACGTCTTTTGGCACATGAGGATTTTTTGGAGGGGGTCTTTTTGAGGCAGGGTCTCCCTGTAGCCTCAGCTGGCCTGGAACTGGCTATTCAGACCAGGCTGGCCTCGAACTCACAGAGATCCACCTGCCTTTGCCTCCTGAGTCCTGGGATTCAAGGCGTGCACCACTACACCCAGCACATGAGGATTTTTATAGAGAAATTAATCGGAAATACTGGCCTGTAGTTTTCTTGTGTCTTTGAATAGTTGTTTTCAAGGTACTATTGAGAGTAAGAAGGATTGGTTTAATTCTGCTAAAATTTAGAAAAATTTACTAGTGAAGCCAGCTGGTCTGAGGTTTTCTTTGTTGGGGGATTTTTTTAGTTTATTGATTCACTTTCCATGCTACTACTATGCCGGTTAAGACTATCTATCTATCTATCTATCTATCTATCTATCTTTCTATCTATCTACCTACCTATCTATCATCTATCATCTATCTATCTATCTACCTACCTATCTATCATCTATCTACCTATCATCTATCTATCTATCTATCTATCTACCTATCATCTATCTATCATCTATCTACCTATCATCTATTTATCTATCTATCTACCTATCATCTATCTATCTATCTATCATCTATCTATCCATCTATCTATCATCTATCTATCATTTATCTATCAATCATCTATCTAATCTCTCTCTATGCATGTTCTCATGTCTGTGTGCCCACGTGTACCCTACACATACATGCAGAGGCCAGAATAGGGTGCAGGTGTCCTCCTCTGTCACTCTTTCCCTTATTTCTTTGTCAGGGTCTCTCCACGTTCACAGTCTAGCACCCCTGGCAGTCCTGCACACACACACACATACACACACACACACACACACACACACACACCAAGCTGGGGTTGCAAACATGCAAGGGGCTCCCAGTTTGTTCCATGGGTGCTGGGATCTGTACTCCAGTCCTCATGATTATGCTGCAGTCATTCCTAACCACTGAGGCATCCTCCCAGCCCGAAGACTTTCCATCTCTTCAGGAGCCACCAAGCAGGTTGTGTGCATCTCAGAATTTCTTTATGTTTTCTTTATTAGCCAATCTGTCGGCATCTACTTGTTTAATTGTAAACAATATAATTCTTCCTTTTCTGCACTCCCAGTGGTGGTTCCCCACATGGTCCATTAATAAAATATATATTTTTTTTATTTATTGTTTTTATTTTATGTGTATGTGTATTGCCTGCATGGATGTGAGTGCACCCATGTCGTGCAGTGCCGCGGAGGTCAGAAGAGGGCTTCGGATTCTCCTGGAACTGGAGTTAAGGATGGTGTGTAGCTCCCATGTGGGTGCTGGGAATCGAACCTGGGTTCTCTGCAAGAGCTCTTAACCGCTGAGCCATCTCTTCAGCCCCTATGTTTTTGGTCTTTCTGAGACAGGGTCTCTTTGTAGCCCCAGCTGTCCTAGAACTCACTATGTAGACCAGGCTGGCCTCGAACTCACAAAGATCTGCCTCCCAAGTGCTGGGATTAAAGGAGTGAGCCACCACGCCCATCTTTTTTATAATGTTTCTTTTTTAAAGATTTTTTTCCAATTTTTAATTAATTAATTTTTATTTTTATGTGTATGAATGTATTGCTTGCATGTATGACCCCTCAGAAGAGGGTGTCAGATTCCCTTGGAACTGGTGTTATGGACAGTTGTTAGCCGCCTTGTGTGTATTGGGAATTGAACCCAGGTCCTCTGCAAGAGCAGCCACTGCTCTTAACCGTCGAGCCACTTCTCCAGGCTCCATTTCTTGTTTTAACTTTTAGAGTGCTCTTGTTTTCCTTATTCATGGCAGGTAAAATTTGTCGTTTGTTGAACTTCTAGAAAAGCCAATTCTTGGACACATTAATTTTTCTCCCACTTTTCTGTTCTTTTTTAAAAGCTTTATTACACTTGTTTGTTTATTTATTTTTGTGTGTGGGCACATGCCATAGCATGCATATGGTGGTCAGAGGACAGCTTCGGGGGGTCCGCTCTTTCCTCCCACCATGTGGGTCCCAAAGGTTGAACTCAGGTGCTCAGGCGTGGCTGCCAGTGCCTTTACCCGCTGCGCCACTTGCCAGCCCGTTACTCGTCTTTGTTGCTTCCTTCTCGCTATCGGCTTGCTTTTTATCTTAACCATTTTCTGCTTTTCTTGGCTGTAAAGGCGAATTGTTGGCCTGAGAGCCTTCCTCTTTTAACATCAGCATTTCCTGCTATAATTTCCCTCTCGGCAGGAATTTTGCTGCGTCTATAGGCTTTAGAATAGTGTGTTTGGTTCTCACTTATCTCAAGGTATTTTCTAATTTCTTTGTGATTTCTTCTCTGATTTGTTCACTGTTTAAGAACAGGCTGTTGCATTTCCATGCATTGGTGGATTTTCCAGATTTTCCATCTGTTGATTTCCAATTTCACTCCACTGTGTTCATGGAAGTTTGTCTGGGGCTAGGGCTCAGCAGTTGAGTGCTTGCCTAACATGTGTGAGGCCCTGGATTCAATTCAATTCCTAGTAAAACACACACACACACACACACACACACACACACACACAATATGAAGATGCTCTGTATGATTTCCATCTGCTAAAGAATTTTAGGATTTCCTTTATAACCTAAATCTTCTAAATCTTGGAGCTGTCACGTGTGAATCTGAGAAGCCCCATGTGTTCTGCTGTGTTGGGCAGAGTGAACTGTGTGTGACTGTGAGGTTTGATTGCTGTGTGACACTGTCCAAGACCTTGGTGTCCAGACTGATACTCTCTCTGACCACTACGTTGACGCCCTTTCAACCTGGTCCTTCCAGATGCATTCTGCTGAGGATCTTGGAGGTGGATATGGGAAGATCGGGCCTCACTGCGGGGAAGAGGCAATGGCATGAGCTGAAGGGCTGGTAGAGAACGGAGAGGCAGGTTGACTGCACAAGTTTTGGAAAACTGCTCTGACTTACTCTTCTGTTGCTGTGATAAAACTCTCTGACCAAGTGGCTGGAGAAATGGCTCAGCGGTTAAAAGCACTGGCTGCTCTTGCAGAGGACCAGGGTTTTGTTCCCAGCACCCACATGGTGGCAAACAACCATCTGTAACTCCAGTTCCAGGGAACAAAGCCTGGGTCCTCTGTAAGAGCACCCAGTGCTCTTAACCACTGAGCCATCTCCCCCACCCCAGTTTGGGGCATTTTAATGGCCTGCACACAGCTACTATTTGTTGTGGGAACACTGTGTTTCAGGCTCTGTGCTCAGCACATCCTGTTCACTCCCTTGTTTGATTCATCCATAATCTCTTAAGCCAATGATAAGGCTAAGGCCCAGAGAGCGGTTACAATTTGCCTGAGGCAGCACAGCTGGTACTGGAAAGGCCAGCTATCTCAGAAGGCATGATGGAAAAGCTGTGATAAATGTGATTTGCACTCTATCCCTTCCAGCTGTGGTGCAATCCTGTACAGACCACTTCACCTCTCCAAACCTCTGTTTCCACAAGGGTCAAATGGGGCCAGTCTGCATGTGGCTTTGCTGGATTTCAGACCTAGAAAGGCTCCTGTGAAGCTGGGTAGCTCTAAGCTGAGTGCTAAGCAGGGAGCCAGGAGCTGTTCACACAGCTAGTGCTGGTGTGGATGGGGTGTGTTGCCTCTGAGTGCTTGGCATGGTCCTCCAGTCAGGGTGCTGATGGGTGTTCTAAGTCCTGTCTACCTCTGGGAGGTAACCTTTAAAAAGGGAGGAGGGGATAGCAGGTTCTGGGGGCTACGTGGATGGACTGCAGGGGAGTCGAACAGGGTCCTGCTTGGTGGGAGATTCAGAATTTGGCCCCTTCATCCCACATCAGCTTTTGGGACAGAGTGGAACAGGTCTTTGAATCATCTTTTGACCTCAGTCTCCAGATGGGGAAACTGAGGTCCAGAGAGGAGGGACTCTGCTTGAGTCCCACAATGCCTGACTCAGGGCCTATAGGCAAAGTGGGGGGCAGATCCAGGAAAGCCAGAGGGTGTCCAGGCTCCAGAGGACCAGTGCCATTTGCAGAGGCATGGCCTCCTCCCCCACAGTGACCTTGCTCAGCATCCTGAAAATGCTCAGGAAATATTTGCCAGAGAATGGATTTGGTGAGGAAAGCATACAGCCCCCGATGGGGACTCCTGCTAGGATTCTGTCCACATTTAGGTCACCTCTCTGCTACCTGGGGAAGGTGGATCCCCCATTTCCTAAAGCTCACTCACAAACATACTGGGTTCCCACACAGGGATTTGAACCCAGGTCTCCTGGATTCCAGTGTTCACTGTCCCCATACCACCCTCCTGATTCCTTTATCCACGAACTCACTCACTCATTGAGGGAATCTTTATTGAGTGCCTACTATGTGCCAGGCATAGTTCTGGGCTCTGTGGATGCTTTAGAAGACCAAGCAGGGGTACTTGTATTCTGGAAAGGGGATGCAGACAGGGAACCAAGGAGGGAACAGAGCAGAAATAGCGGCAAGTCCACTGAAGGAGCTGTGATGGGTGGGCCAGGGTTGGGGACACTCTGGGAACTGTGTCAGGAAGGGGCATTTTTGTGCCACCTTGAAGAAGCTAAGAGCCTGAACTGGTAATTAAGGGAAATGGACTTCGAATAGCTATATCAGCCACAGACCTGCCTGAAACAAGGCACCAGGGTGCAGCATGGGCCTTGGGGTGCAGCGCCCCTGTCCCATCAGTGTCTTCCACCACAGGTGAAGCAAATCATGGAAGAGGCTGTCACCCGCAAGTTTGTCCATGAGGACAGCAGCCACATCATCTCCTTCTGTGGTGAGTCCGTGGCCCGCCATGGCCTGGGAAGCGGCTTCCTTGCGGGGCTGCTGCGGGGGAGGTGTGCCTGTGAGCCAGCTCCAAGTCATGCTGGGCTTTCTGACTCTCAAGTTATTTTGGGATCCTGAAGAGACTCTGTCATGGGATTTGGAAATAGAGAACAGTGAGAGGAATGGTCACGGAGGCTTCTTGTATCCTGTGGGAGGTGACTGTGGTTCACCCAGCAGGTGCGTCACACTGGCCCGGCCCCTGGGCCATGAGGAAGGGTCTCAGCCCTGCCCTGCCTCTGCCTCTGACTTTTGCTGGGTAAAGGGTGAGGATTGAATGGGGACTTTTAAAAAGTATGATGAGAGCTAAGGCTGTGGCTTGGAGCATCGCATTTAGCTGACTGAGCACAGACATCTTGGGACCCCAAGTGTGTTCCAGACTCCTTCTGTAACCAGTCCTGTTCATGAGGAAACAGAAAGAACCACACTGCCTGGTTCCTGGACATCTGGACCTGAGGTCACCTTCAGCTCCCAGTGGGTTGATGTATTTAAGTGGGAATTTATGTTTCTCTCTGGAATTTTAACATTTAGACTGTCTCGTAGGAAAGTTCACACTGAAGTCCCCTCTATGATCTTGACCTTGTGGAGACCCCTGAGCAAGGAAACCTAGCCAGCCTGCCCTCTCTTGCTCACAGAGCTGGGGCACCACACATGGGGCTGACAGTTGTTAGCCGTCATGTGGGTACTGGGAGTCGAACCCCGGTCCTCTGCAAGAGCAGCCCGTGCTTTTAACCTGCTGAGCCATATCTCCAGCCCCTGAACATTTATTTCTAAAGTATTGCATGGATGAGCTAAAATCCAGATTCTAAGGGAGCCCCAAGGAAAATGCCCAGACTTTCTCTCTGCAGCAGATTATGCAGGATTTGTCATTCATTCAAAACGAAACAATTACTAACAAAACAGAACCCAAACAACAGTAGCAATAAGTACCCCAAGTTCCTTGGCGTTTCCCCTACACATAAGCTTTGCCAAACTCTGGATCCCAGGAGAGCTGCTCACTGCTGTTTGAGTGGTACACACACCATTCTTCTGGGAATGGTGTTCATTGGAGTGCTTCCTTTCTGGAGTTAGTGACAAGTATTGGGTCAGGTCAGTCTTACAATTATCTGACACCCAGCAGGTCCTCAATGAGGAGTATCACTTATATATTCCCTTTTCCTGTAAGGCACCTACTGCATGTCATCAGCCCTACAGGTGGTGCATGTGAGCTGAAGCAGGCAGGCTGGCTAGGCGTCCTTGCACAGTAGGAAACAGGAAGCAAGAAGGTAGAAGGTTCCCAGCAGTGTTGGAAACAAGCAAGGGGCCATCGGCGTGGCCTGTTCAATTGTTTGCCCAGAAGGACTCATTTAAGCCAGAGAAAGAAATAATACAATTAAAAAATTTTCTTTTCTTTTAGACAGGGTCTCCCTGTGGCCCCAGCCAGCCTGGAACTCACTATGTGGACCAGGTTGGCCTTTATCTCATAGAGATTCGCCTGCCCCTGTCTCTCAGGTGCCAGGATTAAAGGTGTGTGCCACCACGCCCAGCTGGAAAAGTAGTTCTGCTGAGCTCAGTAGTGAGTTGATGGTAGAACCCAGACCACAACCCAGTGTCTTGTCCTGAAGATATGTCCCATGTCTTGGCCCCAGGGGGAAACACTGAAGTGGGAAGGGGACTACAGAATGCTCCTTTTCAAGATCCTGTATTTACCAGTGTGATGTATGCATGCCTGACCTCAGACTTGGGTTTGAATCCTACCTCATTTGCTGCATGACCTTAAGGAAGTTAGTTCACCTCTCTCAGCCTCTCCTGAAAAGTGGGAACAGGTTTCTTCTAGGCCATGACAGAAGTGAAGTGAGATGTATAAATATTAGCTGTGATGTAGTCACAGTGATGATGGTGATGATGGTGATGGTGGTGATGATGGTGATGGTGGTGGTGATGGTGGTGATGGTGATGATGATGGTGGTGATCGTGGTGATGGTGATGATGATGGTGGTGATGACGATGATGGTGATGATGGTGGTGGTGATGATGATGATGATGATGATGATGTAATTCTTTAACTCAGATGAAATTTGGCCATATTGTGGTCCAATCTCTTCTCCTTCCTTGGCGGTAATAACAGCTATCACTCATAAAGCACTGACCATGTCAGGCTCTGCTAAAAATTCCCTGAGTACTTTTGTCACCCATTCTAATGGCATCTGGGGGAGGTTAATATTCCTTGTACCCCCTTCAAGGGGCAGAAGCCAGGGCACAGAGAAGGGAAGTCACTGCCCACAGTCTCACATTGGGCCAATGGCTGACAGAGGGTATGAGCAGACATGGCTGACTGTGGGTCTCTCCCTCCCCTCATGGGCTGTTGGCCACTGATCCGTGAGAACAAAGGGAGCAGAGGCAACTGACAGGGTCAGGACCGCCAGTGAGCACGATGGAAAAGACCTTCTGGGAGTCAGTTTCAGGGATACAGCACATTTATTCAGTTGGGGGGCAGGGAAAAATATAGGGTGGAGGCAGCAGCCAAAGCCTCAGCTGATAGGTGCTCATAGTATGCTTTGTTTACATGTGGTAGGGGCATCCTATCATCCGACTATAGGGCAATGCCTAATTATCATATAGAAAAAACCTGGGGACAGTTTTATTGCAGGTAACTATGCCAAAGGTCATGTTCCAAATAAGGCCAGGCATCCGTGCTTGGTGGTACTTTCCAGATAAGGTCAGGCAGAGAGCAGGAAGCCCCCCACTGAGAAAGGGAGTCCTTCCATACAGCGCCGAGCTCCTTAGAGCTATCCGGATATGGTGGACTGCAACCTTAGCAGCAGGGTCCCCCAACAGCTGACCTTGGGCCCCAGCTTTGGATTAACCACTATGCTCTCTGCCTACTTTGGAGCATGTGGCAGAGGGCATGTATGTGTTTTCTCTGTTGCTCTAAGTCACCCTTGGCACTGACGAGTGTGGGCAAGACATAGCTATTGACCCTTGTGTCCCTGCAGCGGCTGTGGAGGCCTGCGTCCTGCATGGGCTGCGGCGGAGGGCAGCTGGCTTCCTGCGCAGCAACAAGATTGCAGCTCTCTTCATGAAGGTGGGCAAGAGCTTCCCTCCAGCTGAGGAGCTAAGTCGCAAAGTCCAGGATCTGGAACAACTGATTGAGAGCGCGTGAGTGTGACATGTGGGGCATTGGTTGGAGCAGCCCCTCCCCTCAGGGCATGCCACATCCCCCTCAGGCCCTGGAGCACTCACAGCTCCTGACTTTCTGCTTTCCTTTCTCTTCCTCAGAGCTGCCAGGCTTACCCACCTCAGGACCTTTGCACATACTGTCCCCTCTGTTCTCTCACCAGCCTGATAATCTGTGTTCTAGTTTGCTTTCTATTGTTGGGATAAAATACTCTGACAAAAACCACCTTGAGGAGGGAAGGGTTTATTGGGCTTACACTTCCTGATCACAGTTCATCCTTGAGGGAAGCCAGGGCAAGATCTCAGGGCAAGAACCTGGAGGCAGGAACTGAAGCAGAGACCATGGTGGAAAGCTGCTTACTGGCTTGCTCCTCTGACCTGTGCTCAGCCTGCTTTCTTATACAACCCAAGACCACCTGCCCAGAGATGGCACTGCCCACAGTGGACCTGGCCCTCCCACATCACCAAACAATCAACAGAATGCCTCACAGAAAGGCCCACAGGCCAGTCCAATATAGAAAGTTCCCCAATTGAGGCTCCCTCTTCCCAGGTGGGCCAAGGTGGCAGGCAAAGCCAGCCGTGACACTCAGGGCTGGTTCTTGTCATCATCCATCTCTCCCCTAGCTCTATAAACCTGCGTCCTTGCCTCCATCCCTTCACCTTGTTTGTTTTATTCCTGATTCTTAGCCCATCTGTAATTGCTCATTAATTATTCATTCACTGTTAACTTGATTGCTGGCTGGCTCCCTCAACTCCATTAGAACAGGCAGCCACATCTGTGTCTCCAGCCTCTGGGGGAGGGTCTAGCTCCCTGGTCCATGCCCACACGATAAATGTTGAGTGAATAAGTGCCAGCTGGAGTCACACCCTGTTTTATCTTTGTGTGTGTATGATTATGTATGTTTGCATGTGTGTGTGTATGCATGTGTCTGTACAAGTGGAGCCCAAAGGGTGATGTCAGTTGTCTTCCTCAATCACTCTCCACCATGTTCATTGAAGCAGGGTCTCTCAGTTGAACTCAGAGCTTACTGATTGGCTAGTCTGGTTTTCCAGCTTACTCTGGGGAATCCCATCTCTTCCTCCCACGTGCTGGGCTTACCAGTGTGCCGACACAACCACCTGGTATTTACACAGGTGCTGGTCATCTGCATGCCACTCCTCTTTGCCCACACTGCCATCTTCACAACCCCGCCCACTGTTCTAAATGCAAGGTGGCAAAGGTTTGCTAGAAACAACGTGGTCTTGTCCACCTGGCCACCCTGAGGTAGTTTCTGAAGGGAAAGCGGCTTCACTCACTTGTCTCTGTGGTTGGATGAGTGTGTGTTTGGGGTAGTTCATAGATGGAGCCTGGTGCATGGTACCTGTGGCCAGGGCTTTGACCTCAGATCCAAAATGCACATCCAAACCCAACTTGGAGCCTAGCATGGAAGACAGCTCAGTTTCAGCTCCAGCTGGTGCTTGTAACACTTGCGAAGATTGTGTTATGAAAGATTCTTGAAGCCAGGATTGGGCATCGTGGGAAAGAATGTGTGGATTGATTGGCAGTGTCTGACCCAGGTAAGGGAAGGGAAGACACAAACCTGCTCTGTGTTAATCAGCTTTGCATTACAGTAACAAAATACCCGAGGTAAGTGATGTATGAGGAGAAAAGGTACACTGGGCATGGTAGTGCACACCTTTAATTCCAGCCCTTGGGTGGCAGAGGCAGGTGGATCTCTGTGAGATTGAGGCCAGCCTGGTCCACCTAGTGACTTCCAGGAAGGCTGGGCCTAGGAAGACCCTGTCAAAAAAAAAAAGAGGAGAAAAGATTTGCTTTGACTCATGGATTTAAGGTCCTTGTCTCTGATCAATGGGCCCCATTGCTTTGAGCCTATAGTGAGGCAGCTTGTCACAGTCTGAATTCATGAAGTGGACTGTTCATGTCATGACTGAGAAGAAGCGGAGTGGTGTGGGGTGGGGGGGGATTCCAGCATCCCACAATCCCTCCAGGGCACACCCTAATAGCCTAAAACCTCCCATTAGACCACACCCCTATTTGATTTTTGAGACAAAGTCCCACTTACCACACAGCTCAGGCTAGCCTTGAGTTCATGACAATCCTCCTGCTCCAGCCTATCTGAAGTGCTGAGATGGTGGGTTTGCACTACCTCACCTGGCATAGTGCCCTCCTTATAGGTTCACCTCTCCCAGTGGCATGAGCTAAATACCAGCCTCTAACACATGACCCAGGCTTGCCACCTCTGCCATGGCAAACAATAACCAATGAGAAATAGCCCCCATCCTCTGTTCTCATCCCCCAGCACTGTGTGGTGGGCAGAGCTCAGGGTTTAGCTCCCATTTGGAATGACATCACAGCTGACTGGGCTTTGGGTGCCTCAGCCCACCTGCTTAACTCCCAGGTCTCCTGGATGGCATCTTCAAGCAAAGGACTTCCAGGGTCTCCCCAGGATAGGTAGCGACATTGCGGTGCAGGGGTTAGGGACCATATGGGAGCATTCTCAGCATCACTCTCTCACATACACTGGCATTTCCTGTGTGCCAGGCACTGTGCCAGGCTCTGGAGACACAGACATGAAGGGCAACATTGGCAGGGATTTATTATTTATTTATTTTTTATTCATTCATTCATTCGCGCGTGTGTGTGTGTGTGTGTGTGCGCGCGCGCGCGCACATGCTCATGTATATGCCACGTGCATACAGGTGTTCATAGGAGCCAGAAGACAGCATCAGATACTCGGAACTGTAGTTACAAGTGGTTGTGAGCTTCCTGAGATGGACACTGAGACCTGAACCCGGGTCTTCTTGGAAAGCAGTGAGCACTCTTAACCATTGAGCCATCTCTGTAGCCCCAGGGATTTTTAAATATATGTGGGTTTTTTTTTGGTCTTTTTTGAGAGAGGGTCTCCTTGTAGCCCCAGCTGGCCTGGAACTCGCTGTGTAGATCAGGCTGGACTCAAACTCACAAAGATCCACCTGCCTCTGCCTCCCAAGTACTGGGATTAAAGGCATGTGCCACCACACCCAGCAATATATGCATTTTTATGTGTATAAGTGTCTTGCCTGTGTATATGTTAGTGAACCCCTGCATGTAATAGGCCAGAAGAAGGGCATCAGATCCCCTGGAGTTGGAGTCACAGATGGTTTTTAGAGACCATGTGGGTGCTGGGGACCAAACTTGGGTGTTCTGCAAGAGCAGCCAGTGCTTTTAACTGCTGAGCCGAATCCTGTAGCTATCCTCACAGAGACTCAGAGGGCAAAGGGCAGCCTCGGATAATGTGGGGAGGGAACCGGGACGCTCCGAAGGTGAAAAGGGCTTCCAGGAGAGCTGGGAGCTGTGGGAAGCTGTGTAAGGCTGCAGCTAGGAACCATGGAGTGAGACGGGTTGACGGTTAGGGTGTTGCTGGAGAGAAAAGTGACGTGGTGTCAAAAGGGTGCCTCATGGCCCTAGTACACAACTACCTTCCCGGGGGCAGCAGGGTGCCATTAAAGGACCTAAATCCAAGCCAGTGCTCGCTCCTTAGTAAGGAGGGAGGGAGAGAGGGAGGAAGGGAGGGGGAAGATATCGGAATCTGGCTTTTCTGTCAGCAGTATGTGCAGTTGTCTCCTCGCCACATCTTTACCCTCACCGAGCTTTACTCTTCACTACTTGCTGTCTCAGAGCAGCTCTTGTTTTCTGACGTTCTTCTGTGGAATCCCTCTTTCCTGAGTATCTGTTCTCTCCTCTCTCTGGTCTCGAAGGCGAAACCAGATCCAGGGCCTGCAGGAGAATGTGCGAAAACTGCCGAAGCTGCCCAACCTGTCCCCACTGGCCATCAAGCACCTGTGGATCCGCACAGCCCTGTTTGAGAAGGTTCTAGACAAAATTGTGCACTACCTGGTGGAAAACAGCAGGTGAGTGGCACCTGCTGGCGCTCTGCGGTCATCTCTCGGCTGTGCTGGGAACTGCACCCATTCGCATACGCTCTGTGCTCTTCTGCCACCTCCTGGTCATTCTGTGAACTGCATCCTCGTGCATACACGTGTACGTTGGCAGCTGTTTTCCCTTTGCCAGGCCTTGAGTTTTATTTGTAAAAACTTCTTGGACATGTGAGCCTGAATAGCCTAGCTTGAAAACTGGGGAAGACTCACATGTTGAAGAACAGCATGAAACAGGGGTTTCACAATTACAGGAAGATGTTAGGAACCTTGGCTTTCTTCCTTCTGCAGTCTCTTCCATTTGCTAGCAGGGCATCGCTTATCCTCTCTGTGCCTCCCTTGTTTCTGGATGAAAAGCACAGGAGTGGCTGCGGCCGCACAGAAAGCCTAGGAATGAATTCGGTGAGCCATGGTATGTTGAAAATACACAGTGAGGCTGGACATTTTCTCTCCTGGCTCAGACTAATCTAATGTAAAGTTTTATAGTGTGTTCTTGAATCGGAACCCATCCTGTTAAGTCTTTAATGAGAATCTACTATGTGTCAGACTGGGGCTAACTGAGATGCTGGGAGTACAGTGCTGTCTGCTATATAAAGAGTGTAAATGTCATCTCAGGAGGGAGAGAGAGAGAGAGAGAGAGAGAGAGAGAGAGAGAGAGAGA